TCCTTTGCCTTTTTTACTTTTGAATCGCTTTGTTTACTTTCCTTGGTTTCAAATATGTACCTAAACAAATGCCAGAATGTATCTTCAAGAGAAAATATAACCAAAACAACTGAATGTTTTACTTGAAGCACTTTCAAATGTGGGAAGAAACAAGTTACTTACCTATGATGTCGAAAAAATATGAAATCTCGTTGATTATGAAAGGTTACAACCCGCCGACCACGAAAATTTGGATCTTGGGGAAAAAGTGACTGTATCAGTCTGGAAAAGAAAACAAAAAGAAAGGAAATATTCAGGAAGAGAAACTAGTCCATCCTATAAATAGTCCATTAATATTTATCATTCACAAGAGCTGAAAAGATTTGTTCGTTATACACATAAACAAGGTGGTGAAGCTCCTTTTCCTTTTTCTACAATCTGGGTGGGGATAGAAAAATTAAGGTGGGAAATACATGGATTCCAACACTAGCATCCCAAGTAAGGTCAGGTGCTCACAGATTAGCCAAAGAGGCATGCCAAACTTATTTGAAATTCAAAGACGTCGCAAATCATTCTAAAACATCTATGGAATTTCCATCATCACTAACATATTACAATAAGAATTAGAGCAGACCTCCCAATGCGATGGCCCAAACGTGTTGTAAAATTAGTTAAAACTAGTTCAGGCTCGTGACTGGTAGGATTTCCATGATTCTGCAAAAACATACATAATCTGAATGACAATTTTGTATTTTTCATTGCATTTGATAATGATACACGGATTGTATTTGCAGTACAAAAAAATTATCGTATTTACACAAAAAAAAAATATTTCTAATTAGTAAGAGAATTTTCCGGAATAAATGGAAAATCATATCAAAGAGATTAGATAAGAATCTTACTAATTAGTGAGAGGATCTTCTGAAATAAATAGCAGACCAAATCAAAGATATTTGGTCAACCATGGTCTCATGTATTCTAAATTAGGAAGTAAATATTTCTAATACAGCAACTAGAATTACTCAATTTTCAACACTTCCCCCCTCAAGTTGGACTGTAGATGTCAAGTAAGCCTAACTTGGATCTTATATCTTCAAATTTTACTTTTGGTAGTGCGTTATTTAGAATATCTGCTCTTTGTTGATTAGTAGGAATGTAAGAGATGTTAATTATATCCCCTTCTATCTTCTCCTTGATGAAGTGCCTATGTAGTTTCACATGTCTGGATCATTAGATTTTGTTTCAGTGACTACCCCGTAGATGTAGTTACCTTTTCCTCGACCACAAATGAATATCATAACTGAATGCGACTATTAGAGATAGTTATGACCATTCAGTTTGTGTCCAATAATGATAAAGGCACTGGACTCAGATCCTCCATTTCAGCTGGTAACAAATTGAGATGAAGTAGGAGAGATGATTAAGACTATTGAACAAGGTGGAAAAAGTTTCTGGTCATAATTGCCCTGTTACCTGAAAGAACGAAAATTGTGTATTTTCCGTTGCCTTTGATAATGATATAAGGATTGTTTTATGCAATAAAGTTACCATATTTACACCCAAAAAAATCTTCCTAATTAGTGAGAGGATTTTCCATAACAAATGGCAGACTAAATCAAAGAGATTTGGTCAACCATGGTGCCACGTCTTCTAAATTAGGAAATAAATATTTCTGATATAGCAACTATAATTACTCGATTTTCAACAAAATCAAACAAAATACTGCAGTTATCTCAATTCAAATAAAAGCTTGCAATTATCCCAACTCAAACAAAAGATTGCAATTATCCCAACTCAAACAAAAGATTGCAATTATCCCAACTCAAACAAAAGATTGCAGTTATTTGGCTTCATCTAAGGATGTAGAGCATTAAGCTGATGAAACTATTGATATAAGGGGTTACTATCACAAGTCAACTCCTGTAAAAGTTCTCTTTTCATCAAGCTCCTCAAATCAAGTTAAAGCCAGTTTCAGATAATTTCAATGAAATTAACCCCTCAGAGAACAATAGTAATGTAATGCAAGCAAAAACTACAAAATATTCTTCCTAATGCAAAACATTTAAGAAAACTAGATGATAATCCATCTTCAACCAAATATATGAAGATGTTTAAGTTCAATTCCATGTTACCTTTATATCCTTGCGTAGAACAAGATTTGAGAGCTTGAAATGGGCTGTGGGTCCATCAGGCAAGCCAATTATTAAAAGAGCATCTGTGAGGCAAAGACTTCGGTTATTTCACAAGAAGCAAAATGCTTAAACAAATTCGCTCTTACAGTGATAAAAAATTCAGAAGCAGGATTGGAAATAATCTCTCTAGCAGATATCCACATTAAAAAAAAAATAACATGCAGGACATTCTCAGGAGGCAAGAAGCACCACTAACTTGGTTCCCTGCGGTTAGTGTGGACAACTATAATTGAAGTGAAGTCCTTGTTTTTCGCATATTCTACAATCTGAAAGGACCACGTACATCATAAAGGCAGTAAGAGTTATATGAATTATTGTATATGACCTTAATAATTCGCTAGTTACGTAGGTTAGTTCCAAAAAATCACAACAGCACCTTTTTCAAGTCATAGGTTCCTCTCTTATAGTAATGTGCATTGGGTATGACTGAGAGCAATTCTGATATAAAAGCCGGTCCCCTCTGCAGGCCAAAACACACAATAGTCAGCAAGCACCTTGCAATTCAAAAACTAAATTAAACACAAATTTTCTCTGAAGTGGGTAATATAGGTAATGTTGCTTCATTAAATAAGACAAACAAAAGTGGCATATTGAACATACAGTAGAGTTGAAACGACTTGTAGTGATCAATATCTTCTGTGTCAATTCGCCCTTTAGGACTGCACTAAATTCATCTACATCATTACCAGCAAACAGCTGCAAATCATGAAACCAAAGAGATCAACAATGAAATACGATAGGTGTTATTTTACAATGTTTTTATTAATTCTACAGATAATGGAAAATGCCCTTGGGTAAGAACTTGAAAAGATGCCAAACTGCAAGTTCTCAAGATTCCACAAGTAACATTTAAAATCATAAACATCTATTCTTATGCTAATTGGGAAATTAATGATTATAGCAATCTGTTATTGTGCTTAGACAGCATGAAGCTGAATGACGACAGAGATAAAAAGGTATGGAAGTCTGATGAGAAGAATGGTTTTTCTGTGAAATTGCTTTGTATGAGTGACAACAGTAACAGTAATATAGCACCCTTCAAGCAGTTATGGAAGCTGCTTGGGAAGCTTTTACTTGGGAATGGAATTTTTTACTTGGGAAGCTGCAAAGGAATGCATTTTGACTATTGATATGCTTAAAAAGAGAGGTAACACCATGTTTAACAGATGCTACCTATGCAAATCTGATGAGGAAACGTGCAACCACTTACTGTTGATGTGTCCAACGACATACAGCATCTGGACTACTGTTTTGGGCTTGTTGAGGTTGAATTGGATTGTGGCCAATAATGTGAGTAGAGAGCTGTGGTCATGGGCAGATTTTTGTAAAAAGAAAAGGCATTTATTCCTTATTCCATTAACTATTTTTTGGATTGTGTGGAAGAAAAGAAATATGAAAGCTTTTGAGGATATTGAGACTAATTTTACATACATTTGAGGTAGATGGATTCACATTTTTTACTCTATCTTGTTAGATCATAACATCAAAGATTGGGATGATTTTGGGATTGTTATTGACCACTTGATTGACTTGTAACTATGTTTTGTATACGGACAGTACCCCATTGATACCTTTGTTAATAATAATACTTTTCTTATATTTGAAAGAAAAATAAAACCCTACCATAACCTTCTCTTAATCAGCTTGCTTCCACTTCCTGTGGAAGCATATATGGCAGAGAAATGCATCTTCATGGATGGCCTTTTTTGCTTGGGGACTGTGTTGGTTAAGATTCTCATCGTTAAAAATTAGACCAAGAAAAGCAAAATTTCAGCCAATGGCTGCCCTTTGTGTCTTCCCAACAAAGACCCTTAACCACCTTCTCCTCTGGTATTTGGAAGGTTATAGGATTCTGCCCTTAGTCTTCTGAACTTCCCTTGGGCAGTCAGGGATCAGTATAGGAGGAGATCTGGGGTTCGGACGAGTATGAGGAAATCCATGAAGAATCTACTTTCCTTTATCCCAATAGCCATTATATGGGCTAAAGAGGAAAAATTTAAAGACATTTGACAATTAACATAACTTTGACAGATATTAAATATTCACGCACCAGTTCTCTACACAGATAGAAGTTGATCTATTTCAGCATGACTTCTCAAATGCTGAAAAGCTAGCTCTTAAAAGTATAAATTCTAGAGAAGCAGAATGTTTCAGGGAAAAATGACAAGCTGGACTAGGATACTAGTGGTAATTGGCAAGGGATGTTACAAATGGCTGAGAGTAAGGGATCAACTTATAGTCCTGAATAATGGACCATAAAATCAAGCATTAGAACAACTATGCCAAGTCCTAAAATGAATATATCAATGTGAACTATTTTAAAAGTTCACATTATCAACATTTATAAACTTACATACCTAGTAAGTTTTGAGTTTATCAACAGTATGGGCATTTAAAACCCATTCAATAAATGGCTAAATTTTCTTCATATGTTACAGCTTAACCTACTCTACATGAGTCCTCATTCCTCAACCTGAAAATTTTAATTGATAAACTAAAACCTTATGTTCCCCTTATTCACTTCGATTATTCTCCACATTCCCAACTAGTCAAAGCAAATCATTCCCATGAATTAAATTTATAAGAATCAAAATCATGGGGAAGACAAGAGTTTTCAATTATGCTAATGCCCAATAGAACAGTCTATCATGCCGATGTTAATATCGAAATAAATTTGCAATAAACCCGGTAAAGAATAAAATCCGTGAATACCTCTTCGTCATCAGGCTTGCAGACAGTTTCGTCCAACTCCCTAGTATTCTCAATGGTACGAGGTGTCTTCCTAGGTGGAGGCTTCAATTAAACATACAAAAATCATATTAGAATATGATATTACTTGAAAGAACTTCATTTTGCACCAACAATGTGTATTTCATTAGGAAAAAATAATCTAAAAGAGCACGGTAATAGACTTACCTCCTCGCCAAGCTCAAGGGCTCGCTTCTCAGCAGCATCGCGAGCCTTGAGCTTCTTGCGCTTATCAAGCAACTTCTGGTGCTTGAGTTTGGCATGCACGGCTGATCTTTTCTCCTTGTTCTTTATCATTGATGGGAGTATCTCTTGCTTCTGTTTCTTCCTGTCACTGTATCTAGAATTCTCTCCATAGGCCTCTGCATCTTCTTCCTCCACTCCTTTGCCTTCGCTCTTCTTTCTCTTTCCTCCCATACCCAGTCACTTGACACACTATCTCACAATCGTAGCAATTGATTGATCAAAACAGTTAATAGACATTAGGGTTGAGAAATTGCGGCCTTTGGAGTTTATAAAGTAATTTGCAAATAAGGTCTTGTTTGGGTAATTGTTAAATAATGATGTATAATTTTTTCTTTTTTTTCTTTTTTGTTTGTTTATATTTTTAAACACATATTAAAATTTTTTAATGGTTAAATTATAATTTTTAAAATCATAATTTTTTTTTATTTTTTTAAACTACTAATTTAGTAGTTTTATGATAATATGATATTTTTCTTTTATACTCTTAATATTTTTTATTATTTATAATATTACTCTTCTCTCTAATTTCTTCTACTATGCACTTCTTGTATTTCTTTTAAAAATATTGTGTATATATATATGTAAATTTAATTATGTATTATATATATATATAAATATATATTTGTAACACCCGAGAAAAAAAAAATTTATTTTTATTTTTTTTAATTTATTTCAATTTATATTAAAATTTTAGTTTAATTTTATATATATTTAATTTATAAGGTTTTAATTTAATTTAGATTAATTTAATGAAAATAAAAATAATGATAATGATAAAATAGGGTAAAAAAATTATTTTTGGATTTAATTGAAATTTATTTTAGAAAAAATGGGTAAAAATTTGGATTGTGTGGGTATTTTTGAAAAGAAAATCAGAAATCGGGGGTCAAAACGTAATTTAAAAAAGTTGTGCCACGTCAGCAGCCCCTGCCAACCAGGACACGCCACGTGGCAAGGAACGCTGACGCGTGACAGGGCCACGTGGACGATCCACGTGCGCGCGATCGGACGGCCCAGATCCATTCCCGCGCGCACGGACGGTCCAGATCAAATGTGCGCACGGACAGCCTAGATCTCACGCGTACGGACGGTCCAGATTCAATCAGGCACGGACGGCCCAGATTTAATCCCAAATAAATCGCGATCGGACGGTTCAGATTAAATCTTGATGGACGGTCGAGATTAAAAGGGGAAGGGTATAAATAACGTCATCCACACCCGACCACAAAACCCTAGCCGCCAGTGCCTCGCCGGAGAAGAAGAATCAGACGCCGGAGGAGTCGGCCGCCGCCACCCGCCGCTGCACCGAAAAATTTTTCGACCGCCAAACGATGTAAACTTTATCCCCTTGGCTCGTTTTTCGATGCTGAATCCGCCTATGGCCAAATCGGAGCCAAACCACCTGCCAATCGGCCGGAAAACACCGCCAAAGTCCAGCAGCGCCGCCGCGACTTTCCTCTGTTTTTGCCTCCGATGAGGCCCTTTTCGGTCTCCATTCGATGCAATTTTTATACCATTGTGATCACCGTCCTTTTCTCTACAGGTTGACCGAAACAAAACATCAAAACGCGACTTGCACCGGAGAAACTGCCGCACTCGAGAGCATCGCCGCTGATAAGACTCGTTTTTTGTGATTTTTTGGCCCACCGAGGGCCATAGGGTTGTTTTATCGCAGGGACCAAAGCAAGTTTGGTCGAATCGGCC